TCAATTTTGAGTATTAATTTTTAATGCCTTCCTTATCCCTTTGGCTTATTTTACGTTTTCGCGGGGTGACTAATTTCATTACTGAAAGCTCAACATTGAAAGTTGTTCTAAAATCTATTTGTTGCACTAAAAAATTGCTCTCCATCACGGTCGCGCTTTTCACTGCTCTCGTCCAGTCCTTGTCCACCGGCCTCGTATTAATTCTTGTTTACTGGACAAAAATGACCGGCAATCGCATATCACGACACGAAAATCTGTCTTTTCACATTTCCCGAAATCAATGTTGGCAATTGCAGTCTAAATTCATGGGTGTTTCTACAATACCAAAATAGTGCATGTAACCTCCTCCACAGGCATCGCCTTTAGATTATCGGGCAGAATTTGCTTGCAGGCAAAAGGAGTTTTGGCGGCGATCTCACCGACTTTGTAAAGTAAGTGAACCAAGAGATGGCTACGGAGGAGGCTAGCGTCCCTGTAAACATTGATTTAATGTTTACCCCATTTCGTTTATACCACCGTCTGAAGATACTGGCTGGATAACACGTTCCCGGCCTACCGTTCGAGAAACTTGTAAACTGTTGCACTTTTGGAGCAACTTACTGCGACTTATAGATGTATTCTAGAAGTGCATTAATTAAATTGGGACAATTAGGGTAATTTTAGGCCATGGACCGGATAAAGGGTAGAAACCACGCTTTTATTTAACTTGCTGCCAAAGCCAATTGTTTGTGAACACGATTCTGTAATGTTATTTAAGCTTGCCAATTCAGTAATTGAACTGCGAAAGAGTTTTTAATAAACTTACTTACATGTGGAGGGGCATATATATATATATATTAATAATTCATCTTCAGCTGAAATTGATGTCCCGTAGGATGTGAGTGAAGCTGCTCGCATCATTCCCCAGAATGTTACCTCTTATTCTGTTACCTCGTCCACATAACACAAGAACATATTGTATTTTCGAATACCAAGACACTGCATAATTTTTAGCAAAAATGTCTAGGTCACGGATTTAAAGAATGCGCTGGTGAGGGAGTCAAAGAATGTATATGATGTCATACCTTTGAAGCACAGTTTCTTAATGACCAAACCCTCATCTGAAAAACCAAAATACAAATAAGCGAATCTTGAAGAAAAATTTCAGTGAAACATGTTTCAATAATTTACAACTTAATAGGTTTTCAATTTTTAGTTAATAATTAGAAACGAATTTTGACCTACTGTGTTCAGGCTGCTCCACTTGTGCCGAAGCTACAAAAAGCACAATTTATAATGATTATTAACTTGCTCTCACGACTGCATTCGATTGTCATTGATTTCTAGTTAACAAATATGAAACATTTTCCGTGTTGATATACAGTTATATCAACACGAGTGGAAATTGGGAAAACGAGAAATTGTTTGGAAACACGACGCCCGAAGGGCGGAGTGTTTTCACACAATTTCGAATTTTCCCAATTAATTATGTCCGGAAAATTTTTTTATGGCAACAATATTGGGAAAAGAAATATTTGTTAGCGATTGAAATGTTCGTGCGTCGGGAACAAATTCCGCCACGTCCCTTTGGTTGGGCAAAATAACCTCACCCTGCCCTCCAGCCGTAATACCGAAGTTTCGCCCCTGACTATATTAATCTATATTACGTAATAAACCACCTAGGTCTCCAATGGTAGAATTTATTCATTTTACTCTTATTGCACTGAAAAGTCTTTACTGCTGAAATAGTATGGATCGTAGTTGAAAATACGGTATGGAAATCCAATTTTCATACCAATTGCAACTGCGAACGCCAAAACGTACTACCAGCGGGGCTGGTTCCATGCTTCCCCGCCCAATTTCAAAATCTGAGGCTTCTCAGAGCTCCGGTTCTGAAATGCCATTAAATTTGATAAGGAGAATAAATTAAAGCGGTCCTGAAGAAATTCTTAAAAACAATTTGAAAGTCCAGAAAACGACTTTCAAACCTCTCTAAAGTATTGAAGAAAGTTTCTTAGAAACAACTGTATGCTTATATACTTACAGCACATGACGAACATGGCGGCCAGACCAAGAAGACACAGAATAGCTTGATTCATGATTCCAATTTCACTCCACGCGTTGCTGTTAAGTTGAAATTAAATTACTTTCTGCTCTTTCTTGCGATCTCGCGTCCTTTTATGCAGCATGGCGTTGAGGAGTTAAATTCATTTACATTTATAATTATTCTCGTTGCTGGGTGAAACTTGACGTAGACTAAAAGAAATTCCGGCTTTTACAGCGTGCATCCTTACAGCATTGTTTTCAAAGCTTTATTCTTCAAGTGACGTAAGCTAGTCTTTTTCCAGTTAAACAAGCCTTTCAAAGAACACTGGCACAATTCACGTGGGACTTCAAACATTTTGCAGCCCTCGTACGACCATACGTGTCAGAAAGTGCGTAATCATTATTTTTCAAGTCCATACACTTATCTAGCATTATTTGCAACATTATTTGATCAGTTTTTGGCGTCTTGCTATGACATTACGTAACCTTTTGAAGGAGAATTGGACATATAGAATTCACATCGATGTTTTAATTACAAAAATTTAAAAACTAGGAATCCATGCACGAATTAAGTCGGACAAAATTTCCTTGACTTAAGTTTTCCTCGACAAATGTTTCTGCCGGTGAGTTTTCGCTAAAAATTTTGCAATTTTCCTTGCCAAGTAGTAGCCTTGTTCTAAAGCTACAGACACGCATGCCAGGTTTTGGACAAGGAATTGAAAATTTATTCGCGTGTAGCGGCCGTCAGGAAAAGCTTGACAAGTAAACAAGAAATATTTCTATACGATTTTGGCAAGCAAAAAGCGGCCGTGACGTGAGATAAATGTTGAACAACATAACGTGTACACGAACACCAAAACCTGTCAAGCTAGGGAAACCTATCAAGGAAAACTTGTTGTTCAAGGAGAACGTTAAACTTGTCAAGCTAGGGAAACCTATCAGAGAAAACTTGTTGTTCAAGGAGAAGGTAAACTTGTCAAGCTAGGGAAACCTATCAAGGAAAACTTGTTGTTCGAGGAGAAGGTAAACTTGTCAAGGAAACTTGCAAAGGAAAACTTGCTCGTTCGTATATGGGGCTTAAGAATTTTATGCAACTATAGTGTTCAGCATTTCTTTGGAAAAACCAGATTAACAAAATTCTTGCGAGGGTGCAAATTTTTTACCGGTTGACTCTCATGCAATTCGTGTTCCCGTTTGTCCAAGGCATGCATGAGTCTTGCGAAATGACACGAGCCAACGATCGTGAGAAAATCCGTCGGGCAAGAAATAATACAATTGTAAAGGCAAGGAAAAATTAGAAAGACTTGTAGTTTTTAAAGAAAGTATAAAATTGTTGGCGCATTTTACATCGCATATTTTGCGCACTTAAATTCTAAAAAGGAAAAATAATATAGCACGTTCTTCACTATAATTGGCCAATACTGGACTTTTATTGCATGTCAAGGTGCTCCATTTGCAAAATGCAGCATTTTGCTTGGTTCCTGAGCGATCGTTAAAAACATAGCAGTTATTACACCGCCATCTTGAAACGTCATTGTTGCCATAGCAACGGCAGTTGCATAACTTTTGTGCAAAATTCAAACTCTTTGGATGTTTTTCATATAAGTAAGTTATTTTTTGTTTTTCAACAAGTAATAATTGTCCAAAAATACCCATCTAAATCGTGAATTTTCCATTTTTTTAAAAACTGTATTGAGCCACCTTAAAGTGTTCTAAATTCTACGCGAGTCCGTGCTTTTATAATTGTATTAGGGAGCTTTAGATTTGACTACGAGTACGACAACGAGTACGAGATTCGTCAAGCTAAACGAATGCTGTATGCTTACGCCATCCTGTACTGACGCGAAAAAGTCGTAGCCGTCGCCCATCTGAGTACGATATTGTGGAGAAATCTCGTAGTCCTCACGTCGACTTTTCAAAAAAACAAAGAAGTTAACTTTTTTTTGTTTTCCAAAAATAATTTGTAGCATTTATATGGCGTTTATCCGGCGCAAATAATATATTAGTACTAAATATCTGGCCTGTTTTTAATGTTATGACTTATTTACACGTTTTGTAGGGGATTTTAGTCGGCAGGAGATTTAGTTTATAAAACTTTTTCTCTCGTTGTTGGTTTACTGTTATAAAAGCAACATTTGAATGGAAACGAAAACGACTACGGTAATTTCCTCGCACGCGATCAAATCTCGTAGTCGTAGTCGTACTCGTAGTCAAATCTAAAGCTCCCTGTTGTTTGTTGCCTGACTGATTGTCTCACGATAGATGCCATGGTGTCATATTTGACTGCACTCATGCATGCCTTGGTCTGTAACTCTGTAATTTTGATAAATACGGTGTTCATTTATTGTACATTGCCTTCTTGGAGTTTTTGACCGTAAAGGAAATCTTGTCAAATAAATTTCCCTACTCCCCAACAAAAAAAAACTTGTCGAGGAAAACTTGTCAAGGAAAATTTCCCGTCTTAACTGATTACTGCATGCGACAGTTTCTGAAAAAAACTTGTCCAATTAAAAACGCCTATAAGTGAATTCTACGGATAATTCTCTTTCAAATATTTGCGTATTATCATGGCAAAACACTAAAACACATCTAGAACAAAAACTGATCAAATAATGTTGCATATAATGCAAGACAAAGTGCATGCACTTAATTTAAAAGATACTGATCACGTATTTTGTTAGACGTATAGTTTTACACAGTTTGCCAAATTTTTGCGGTCCTATGCACGTGAATTGTGCAAGAACTCTTTCAAAGGCTTGTGTAACTAGCAAAACACTAGCTTTCGTCACTTGAAGAATAAAAGCTAACCAAAAATGCCGTATAAGAATGCACGTAAAAGGAATTTCCTTTAGTCTACGTCAGGTTTCTCCCAGCAACGAGAATAATTATCAATGTAAATTATGTAACTGGTCAACGCCATGCTGTATAAAGGGATGTGAGACCTCAAGAGAAAGCAGAAAATTTTCAACTTAACAGCAACGCGTGGAGTAAAATTGGAATCATGAATCAAGCTATTCTGTGTCTTCTTAGTCTGACCGCCATGTTCGTCATGTGCTGTAAGTACATAAGCAGTTATTTGCTGTGTTGGTGTAATGTACTCAGGTGAATAAGATGCTTGTGTGATGTTACTCTGAGTGTATATCCACACCGGGCAAGCTTGAAAAATATGCCTGGCCACGGTGGGATTCGAACCTACGACCTTTGGAATACCAGCCCAGGTTCGAATCCCACCGTGGCCCGAGGCATATTTTTCAAGCCTGCCCGGTGTGGATATACACCCAGAGTAACATCACACAAGCAACATAAGCAGTTGTTTTTTAAGAGACCTTTCATTCGCTTTTTATATCCTTTTATATTGTAAACGCATTGTAAATTAGCGTAACCGCCACTATAAATGTGTCAAATAAACCATTATTACCACCATATTACCACAATACTTTAGAAAGGTTTGAAAATCGTTTTCTTGACTTTCATATTGTTTTTTTAAGAAATTCTTGCCAATCTTGGACATCGTTTTTATTCTGGCTACCCAACTGATTGAGATTAGAGAAAGTATTGCCTCCAAGCTTCGAGTCAACAAGACATGTGTCACCATACTATTTCAATACTATATCCATAGTATGGGAATTGCAATTAGTATAAAAATTGGATTTCCATACCATTTACAACTACGATCCATATTATTTCCATAGTAAGGAATTTAAAAAAAAAATTTCCAGTGTAATTCACTGGCGGAGATATATGTGTATCTGAGTGCTCCAGTTTACCAAGAATTCTTCCGTACTGAACAGTTTGGTCGAGTTTTGTCCGGCCCAATTAAGGAAGTCTGAAATTATACAATGCGTTTTCAATGAGTTCTAATAATGAATTGAAGCTATTTTATAGCGAATGCTAGTGGCAGTGACTGAAAAATTGTAATGCAATATGCTTTAAATTTCACTAGAAATCAATAATAGCATGCAGTCGTGAGAGCAAGTTAATAATCATTTTATTAAATTGTGCTTTTTATATATAGCTTCATCACAAGTGGAGCAACCTGAACACAGTAAGTCAAAATTCGTTTCTAATTATTAACTAAAAATTGAAAACATATTAAATTTGAAAAAAGTTTCATTGAAATTTTCTTCATGATTCGCTTATACTGGTATTTTGGTTTTTCAGATAAAGGTTTGGTCATTAAGAAACTGTGCTTCGAAGGTATGACATCATACATTCTTTGACCCCTCACCAGCGCATTCCTTAAATCCGTGACCTAGACATTTTCGCTGAAAGTTACGTAGTTCAGCAGGGTCTTGGTATTCGAAAATACAATATGTTCTTGTGTTATGCGCACGAGGTAACGGAATAATGAGATAACATACTGGGGGAATGATGCGAATAGCTTCATTCACATCCTACGGGACATCATGCAATTTCATGATCAACTGAAGATGAATTACTAAAATATGCCCCTCAGCCCCTCCACATGTAATAGTAGTTGATTCAAAACTCTTTTGCAGTACAATTATTTAATTGACGCCGAGTTAATTTAACTCTTTTCACAGAATTACTAATTACTAAGATCAATAACACAATATAAAATATTGTTTAGTACTAATTAGATTAGGTATTTACACAAGGCAATAGCAGGTACAAAGCTAATGAAGTGATTAAAAGTGAGAAAAGATGGATTGTGATCTCTTTGTTCTACAAATATGGAAATGTCATTGAAAAGATAAAAAATTACCAGAGTTCTTCCTTAAGTTAAAATCGTGGTTACAAACAACTGGCTTTGACAGCAAATTAAATAAAGGCGTTGTTCCTATCATTTATCCTGTTCATGCCTTAAATTTACCATAATTGTCCCAGTTTAATTAATGCAGTTCTTGAATGCATATAAGTAGCAGTGAAATGACAGATTTTTGTGTCACGATACGTGATTGCCGGCAATTTATGCCCGGTAAAAAGAAGTTTATACGAGGCCTGTAGAACAAGGACTGATGAGAGTTTTGATAAGTATATATATATATATATATATATATATATATATATATATATATATATATATATATATATATATATATATATATATATATATATATTATATACACAAGGTCTGGATATGAGGTATTCTGCAACCTGATTGGTTCTCTACTAGCAGGATATTAGCTCATATCCTGCTAGTAGAGAAAAACAAAATGGCGGCTCAAAATGAATTTCCGACTTTTGCGAACGAGAAAATGACAAGTTGCTCGCTTTTTATAGCCTTTACAGGATTAAAAACACAACGAAAAACTCTCACAAACTTTAGGAAATGAATTTTTAAAATTTAAAATGGTTAAAAATATATATTTTGGAAAAAATAATCGGCCGAAAGAGCGAAGATAAAAACATAAACAAAATAGAAAAATATTGAAAATATCCGAAAAGCAAAGTCTGTGAGTTCAGACCTTGTGTATATAATAAAACAGTTATTCCACTCACTCTCGTCGAATATGAGCGATAGTCGATTCGGCGCTACGCGCCTCATCGGCTATCAGCTCACATTCGACTCGAGTTCGTAGAATAACTGTTAAATATACCTTAAAAGTTGGTTTTAAGAACACCTTTCAATGTTGGGCTTTCAGTAATGAAGGGGACCCCCAAATGAAATTAGTCACCGCACAAAAATGTAAAAAACGGATTAAAGAAGGCAGTTAAATTTGATACTCAAGATTGAAAATAAAATCTACAAAGTTAATCAAAGGCTAGGCCGTTGAGACCGACTAACGGATCTAATGAAAGGGACAGAAAGAATTAGAGCAGTTTGCAGTTGTTTTTGCAAACCGGGCACCGAGCGAATTTTGCCATTTCTCTCATTTAACAATTGTCGTGCTTCTTTAGCCAAAATCAAAAGAATCTGAAAGGCCCGATTCGCATGGAAACAGCGCTCAAAGCTGGCTGGTCATTTCCCATTGTTTAACTGCCCCATACTTACCCTGACTGCTTCGCAACATCCATGAGTCAAAAACGTAACAGTTAATAACGTACACTGTTAAAATGTATTTGTAATTTTCGTGAACTGTTTTTTTTACGTGTGAAACGTGACTTGGCTGAAGCGTAATCCGACCCTCTCCCTCCAACATTTCACCACCTTCCCCCCCCCCTTCAGCGATGGCTACACCATTACTGCTCTTCCATTTAAGACTGCCTTATTATTTTATTTATTCCTATTAGAATGTAGAAAGTTGGAAAGTTGGGGCAAGTTTGTAGCATGTGGCGAAGACGAAACTGCTGTAAAATGCCGTGGAGCAAGTCAGATGAATAATGACAAAGGTTGTGAAATAAACAGCTGTGGTTTTGGCGAAGAGGATGGTTTTGGTGGGAAAATTGAGGCAATATGCTGCAAAGAAACGGAACACAATTGGATTGGCTAAGATTTTGGTACTGATGGAATTGACTTTGATAACCTTATAACCATATCTGGAACAGTTAGAGACATACATATAGTTCTTAGTTGAGTGAGGGATTGATAGAAATGTAACACATTCTTTTGCAATAAAGCTCAAATTTCATACAAATTATTAAAATATTGTCGTTTTTGTGTGGAAACGTCCGCATGCTGCTTGCTGTGATACTAATTTGACATGCATTTATAATAATTCTTCAATCTTGCGAAAACCGAAGGTGGCATGATAAAGCTTTTTATAAAATGGAAAATTCACGATTAAGATCGGTATTCTTAGACAACTAGTTCTTGTTGAAAAAACAAAACGTATTTTGCTGACGTAAACTGGGGATTACCAGTTAAATTACTTTAATTAAGTCAAAATATCCGCCATATTTAAACGTCATTGTTGCCATAGCAACAGGAGTTGTGTAACTTTTGTTGGAAAATTCAAACTCTTTAGATTCTGTTTCATACGAGTAACATACGTTTTGTTTTACAACAAGTAATAATTGTCCAATAATACGGATCTAAATTGTGAATTTTCGATTTTTAATGTATCGAGGCATCGAGCCACTTCAATTTAAAAGGTAAAGAAGGCATCGCAATAGCAAACTGTAGTAACCTTTGTAACCGTTTCAGCACTGAATTACTGTGGGAGAATATGAAAAAAGATATCACAGTAATCTATCTTTGTTATTCTCCTCCAACTGTTTCCTCATGTTAAAATCGGTAAAATTTTTCAACTTGCAAAGCATGCGTAATATCTCATAGCATGACGTCAGCAAGTCGCTGATCTGTTTATCCCATTAAAATGTTCGGTTCAAATAAACTCCCAGGAACTTGGATTCACGAACTCGCTGTAGTGGGATTTTGGAGAACGCTAACCCGATATCATGCACGTGAACTAAGAGAATGAACGCGAGTTAATTGGGATGTCGAAATCTTTTGACCAAGTAGTCAGGCTGGTTAATGACGCGTTCGTTAACAGTACTGGCTTTACATGTAATAGATGATCAGCATCTTGAAACCTCTGTACTCCTAATCCTAAAATTTCTGGTACTAAATCAGCGACATATAACTTAAATAGCATCGGGCCTAAGATAGATCCTTGAGAAATTCCAAACTGAGTAAAAATTGGAGATGAGCCAAATAAGGACACGTTTGGAGAAGCCCAGACGGACAACTTCCCTATTGCGTTCTTAAAGCACACCGTATCGAACGTCGTAGAGAAGTCCACAAGGACCATAATGGTAACCTCTTCCTTTTTCATCGCGCGTAAGATCGTTCCGGCCATCAGTACTGTGGTCGTGGAATGGCCTTTTCGGAAACTAGGCATATTTTCTGGAAGAATAACCTCACTTTCAGCACAGTTGGCCATTTGTTTTGCTACAAGTTTCTCGAAAATGTTGGACAAAATAGGCAATATTGACACTGACCTAAATTGGTCTTCATTCGCAAGTTTACCGAATTTCGGAATGGGACTAATCTTAGCAATCTTCCATTGCGCTCTCGTGTTTTATATCTAATAAAGGACTGCTGCTCGTGTTTTAAATTGTACTTGAACTTTTCCGTGCATGTACACACGCATGACAAACGCTTAACGCCTTAACTGGAAAGGAGCCTTATCTTATGATTGCAAGCATAAATGTTTCCAAGCCACAATCTCCCCCAAATAGTCTGGAATATATATTATTAGAGGAATTTATCTGATCAAATGTCGTGGAAATTCGCGTTACTGTGTTCCTAATTTCCAATATACGATTCGTCTAGACCCATATGGCACTCTCTCTAGTTATAAGCGATATCATTTTACGGATATAATTTAATTTATTAATGTCATTTTGGAAAACTTAAACACCATCTACCAGTTGATTGTAAGTGACCCAAACAGAGGGCATTTTATTTTGATATTTCAATTTGAATTTTAACGTTCCAGTTTTCAAACATCAACGGCCATATGGTTTAACGTCTTAATCGATGAAAACAGTGAAGGTTTAATCAAGTACAGCTTTTAATCAAGTACAACCGTCGACTGAGCTAGCTAACATACAGCTGAACTATGAGTGCACTCTAGACCAGCTAGTAACTATACCATGCATATATCATTTTAGGTATCCCGTTCAATAAAACGGGAATATATTGAAAGGTTCTTGTAGAAAGAAATTTAAACGGCAAAAATTATACCAAACCACGATCAGTAAAGGAGTTTTCCGTGCAGGATTGCGTGATCCATGCACGCGGGATGTTGCGAGACTTTCGGAAAGCGTAAAAATACACGAGCGTAGGCGAGTGTATTTTTACGCTTTCCGAAAGTCGAGCAACATCCCAAGTGCATGGATCATGCTATCCTGGACGGAAAACCATTTGGTAATTGTTTTATAAAATTACTACAGTGAAACGACGGTTAACTTGATTAATACTACTGATGAAATGTGGAGTTCTCACGACAATCGTTAATTAACGAATCGGAGAATCGCTACTCCACGCTATTGAAAACAACAACAAATGCGAACAGAATTTGATAGCAAATTCGCGAAAATATACAGCGAAAATACAGAGATTTTTTCGATAAAATTTACGAAATTTGAAATGGAAAACCCGCTAAACAGAGAGCCAAAGTAGTTATGAAAAGATTCTCAACATGAATACTTGAAGATTGCGAAGCGTTTGAACTTTGAAGCGACTAGCGAGAGATGTTGTACTTGCCATGGTCTGATGAATTTCAACGCTACACGTTGCTACTTGCTTGAACAGGAATGTATCGATCAGAAATTTATTCATACAACTAAACAAACGTCTCATGAATAATTGGAAATTTACTTCAAAGTCGAAAAGTATGGTACAATGAAACTTTACAATGCGAGTATATTTGTAAAATTATGTGCAAGAATTTCTGTTCAGACTTTCCCGTGCAGGATTGTCTGATCCTGCACGGCTGTTGACCAATCAAATTGCGTGTTTCACTGCATGTAGTTATTATATAATCATTTTTCTGCCGTAAGGTTATTACTTGTACTGCATGGGTATAAATATCAAGATTTTGTAGGCATCTCACTTGATTATATAACAGTTGAAGGGTTTTGTAGATTGGAATGATCAAATGTCAATTTATGTGCGAGTTAAGACACGAGCAGCCGATCTTTATCTGATATACTCGAGCCGAAGGCGAGAGTATACGCTAAAACATTTGCATCCGATCTTTATCTGATATACAAACTCTGAATTTGTATATCAGTTTGTGGTAATCTTCAACACATAGGACAAAACCTAATATTTTTAAAGTTTTTTGCTTCCTTAGACGAGCGTTATGATACAAAATGCCGCCAAAATTAGTCCTATACCAATTTTTGGGTGACGTCCGTATTGAGAAAAACGTCGCTTTCTTAAGCTCAATATTAACTTTGGTTTTCTCGACTTACACGACATATTTTTTGAAAATTTCTTCGCCAATGAACTTACTAGATCGATCGTTTTTGAAGCAATTTAAAAAATTCGTATGTATATACAAACTCTGAGTTTGTATATCAGATAAAGATCGGATGCAAATGTTTTAACGTATACTTAAAAAAGACCCATCTTGTGCGTTCATAGGCAAAGTAATTTTAAAATAAACATTGTCTAAGCCGGGAAAATCAAAGCTGAAATTTATGTGAATCAGAACAAATCTTTATCCGATTTACAAACATGAAACATTGATTAAGCATTCATTCATTTTGAATTATCTTCATGAATTATTAATGAGTATTTTAAGTACTGAGCTACAAACACGAGCAGCAGTGTTTTATCAGATATAAAGATACGAGGTAAAGCCGAGTATCTTTAGGTCTGATAAAACACGCACAGCGAATGTTTTAAATTGCTTCAAAAACGATCGATCTAGTAAGTTCATTGGCGAAGAAATTTTCAAAAAATACGTTGTGTAAGTCGAGAAAACCAAAGTTAAAATTTATGTAAATCAAGTGAAATCTCTATCACGTATCAGTAAAGATACTTATATTTTTCTTTGTGTTTTCCTCATGAATTATTAATGAGTTTTTGAGAACATATGCCATTAATATTAATAAATTTTTACTGCATGTCATTTTCCGCAACTGCTTCCGGTTAGTTCTATAGACTTTCGCTACAAATTCCCTTGTACAAAAATCTTCAGCATTCTGTAGATATCGTATGACCAATACTTTATCTAATATCAGTAATATGTAGATGGCCCTTTTCTAAATTTCATTTCCCAGCTAATGTTTTCACGTTTTACAATCGAAATTATAATTGCATCATAATCAGAAATATGCGTCATAATTAATATCACAACAAGCTGCGTGCGTACATTTCCACACGAAGGACACATTTATGTAATGCAAACAAGTAATTAAAGCTTTATTCAAAAGGTACTGACTTGTTGTTAACTCAAGTAAAAACTACCAACTAATTATATAACTACGTATATGTGTCCAACTTTCCTGGATATCATATATGTCAGTCCATCTGGCATCTGTGGGTACGTTAACGGCCAACCGCTATTCCCCAATTGTGTCCCGTTTCTTTGCAGCAAATTGCTTTGAGTTTTCCGCTAGAACCACAGCTGTTTATTTTGCATCCTTTCCCATTATCAATCTGACTTGCTCCACAAGGTCCTGTTGCAAGAAATTTCATAGCAGTTTCGCCCTCGTCACATGACACTGACTTGCCCAAACTTTCCAGCTTTCTACACTCTGCAAAACAAAAGTTAATAATTATTATTGGAATAAATCTTAACCACAACGAAGGAACAGGAAGCCAGCACTACAACGAGGCCGAGTTGTCTATGAGCGAATAGTCAACGATGCATAGCCTGTGTTAAAGTGGAAGTCAAGTCCGTTCTGCGCATCGGTTCTGCTCATAACAATGTGAGGACCCTCTGATGTAAACATTGCCCAAATTTCGAATGTTTCGAATTTTTCTGAACATAAACTCTATTTCATATTCATTTAGAAGCATAGCGAACCAAAATAGTGTTAGATATTCAGACAGTACATCATATTTTAATGAATACAGCTAGCAGTTCAAAATGTAAACAAATTACCGTTTGTTTATACATACGGACTTGACTTCCACTTTAACTATATACTGGCCATAAACAACGATGGATCAGAATGCCGTTAATCATTATACTTGTAAACATACGTTGGGAGCGTCTGATTCGTATAGCGAAAACTCAAACAGCGGCGAAATTAAAATCTCAAACTCATTAATTGTAAAGTAATTTTAAAAATAAACGTTGTCTAAGCCGAGAAAATCAAAGTTAAAGTTTATGTAAATCAACATGAATCTGTATCACATATACAGATACGACACCCTTATGATTTTTCTTTGTGTTTTCTTCATGAATTATTAATGAGTTTTTTAAATAATTAATACGAATGCATCGCGAATTAGTGTATATTTAATATAAATGATAACCCATGTATTTCGTACGATTTATAACTATAAGAAAGGAAGATGACTTAATGTGTTTAGGCCTGTCTTGTGGTACTGAAGCTAAAGGTAGCATAAAACACAATTACACGGTTACTCCATATGCTGTATTTCAGAAATCTCAGTTAAACCAAGATGGCGAAAATTGACATCCAGAATATATGAAGGTCGTAAGTATGAAGGTCTTAGGCCGTTAACAGGTTTTAAAACTATTTTCCTAGCCCTTGTCTTTTCTGATGGGTTGCATCGCTAATCAAGTTATCAATTCGTAAAACCATGATATTATTCTTTAAAGAGATATGGACAATATAAATTAAGTCTGTCTTATTTAAAAGAACATTTAAAATGAAAAATAAACTTCCGTTACAATTATTCCCTATCTTGCTTGGTTTTCGAAATAAATCTTATTTTGATCAAAAGTAGGGTGCATTGCACCATCTTGGATATACATTCGATATGCATACGTCACAAGTAGGGTAAAAAGGGAAATTTTTATCTTGCAAAACACATCTCATTATCAATATGACAATCGCTTTTGCGTAGTCGTTTTTAGTACTCAATTAACTAGTACTCGCAACATTTTATGAAACTTTTCGAAGAAATTTAGCGCCATATTAAGAAGTTTTAACAAGTTTACCCTGCTTGTGGCGTCATCAAAAACTCAGTTAATTAGGTAAATTATAATACCAAGATGGCGGACTGCACACGTGTTTTGGTCAAAATATATCAAAAACCAAGCAAGGTACGTGCTGTAATACATGATGTGCGCAATTTAAACTGAATCTGAGGTTTTTCAGAGCTCCGGAATTGAAATGCCATTAAATTTGCAAGGAGAGTAAAAACGGTCATGAACAATTTCTTAAAAAACAATATGAAAACCCAGAAAATGACTTTCAACCGTTTCTATAAAGTATTGAAATAAGGTTCTCTTAAAAACAACTGCTTATGTACTTACAGCACATGACGAACATGGCGGTCAGACCAAGAAGACACAGAATAGCTTGATTCATCATTCCAATTTCACCCCACGCGTTGCTGTTAAGTTGGAAAATTTTCTGCTCTCTCTTGCGATCGCGCGTCCTTTTATACAGCATGGCATTGAGCAGTTAAATTCATTTACATTGATAATTGTTCTCGTTGCTTGGAGAAACTTGCCGTAGACTAAAAGAAATTCCTTTTACCGCGCGCATCTTTACAGCATTGTTTGGTTAGCTTTATTCTTCAAGTGACGTAAGCTATTGTTTTGCCAGTTACACAAGCCTTTCAAAGAGTTCTGGCACAACTGATTCACGTGGGACTTCAAACATTTGGCAACCTACCGTTACAACTATACCTCTCAGAAAATTCGTAATCACTATATCAAGTCCATGTACTTATGTCTAGCATATTTGCAACATTATTTGATCAGTTTTTGGCGTTTTGCAATGGCATTACGTAATCTTTGGAAGGAGAATTGGCCATGGACCTAAAATTCGCAACAATATTTTAATTACAAAAGTTTAAAAACTACAATCCATGCACGAATTAAGTCGGACAAAATTTCCTTGAGTCAAGTTTTCCTCGACAAACGTTTTTTGCCGGTGAGTTTACGCCAAAACTTTTACAATTTTCCTTGCCAATTAGTATAGCCTTGTCCTAAAGCTACAGTCACGCATGTCAGGTTTTGGACAAGGATTTGAAAATGTATTCGCGTGCGTGCATGCATGTATAGGTACGCGGCCGTCAGGAAAAGCCTGACAAGTGTACGTGAAATATTTCTACGATTTTGGCAAACAAAAAGCCGGATGTTATGTGAGTTAAATGTTGAACAACGTAACGTGCACAAGGGCACCAAAATTTTTCAAGCTAGGGAAACCTATCAAGGAAAATTTGTTGTTCCAGGAGAAGCTAAAACATGTCAAGGAAACTATAATTGCAAAGGAAAACTTGCTCGTTTGTATGGGGCTTAAGAATTTTGCGCAACTATGTAGTGTTCAGCATTTCTTTGGAAAAACCAGATTAACAAATTAAAATAACACGTTCTGCCGACTGTGCTTATCAAAATAAGGACGCAAATTTTTTACCGATTGACTCTCCTGCAATTCGTGATCTTGTTTGTGCAAAGCATTGCATGAGTCTTGCCAAATGACATGTGTCGTCGATCGTGACAAAGTCGGTCCGGGCAACAAATACTACAATTGTAAAGGCAAGGACTCGCGTAAAATTTCGAAACACATGTAGTATAAAGTTAAATTCTAAAAGATTTATAATTTAATTAATGATTAATGATTTACTTAATTTTGCAAATGGAACGCCTTGACACATTATAATAAAAGTCCAGTATTGACCAATCATGGTAAAGAGCAATACTGGACTTTTATTATAATGTGTCGAGGCGTTCCATTTGCAAAATGTAGCATTTTGATTGCAAAATGTAGCATTTCGATTGGCTCCTGAGCAATCGTTAAAAACATAGCAGTCATTACTCCAGTTTCACTTCAAGCAGTTCACCGAAAAAGTGTTAGCACAAAGTAGAGTAGAATAGAAGTCATTCTAAATAAAAAACTTATATATATTAGGTCACACATTTAAAGTTTCTTAGTGGTCTTAAGCCCCATACAAACGAGCAAGTTTTCCTTTGCAAATTTCCTTGACAAGTTTTACCTACTCCTTAAGCAACAAATTTTCCTTGATAAATTTCCCTAGCTTGACACGGAATGTGTACACGGAATGTTGTTCAACATTTATCTCACGTCACGGCCGCCTTTTGTTTGCCAAAACCGTTTAGATAGAAGTATTTCTTGTACATGCACTGTCCACTTTTTCCCTATATAGTGGCCATACGCACGAACAAACTTTTCTTGTCCAAAATCTGGCATAACTAGCTTTGGATCAAGGCTGCATGCAGGTAATTGGCTAATTGCATGGCAAGGAAATGTTGTCAAATAAATTTCCTCACTCACTAGCAAAAAAAAAACTTGTCGAGGACAACTTGTCAAGGAACATTTCCTGCCTTGGCTGATTACTACGTGCATGCGAAAGTTTCTGAAAAAACTTGTCCAATTAAAAACATCTAAGTGAATTCTGCGGATTTGATCAGTTTTTGTTCTTGAAGTGTTTTGTCATGGAATTACGCAAATCTTTGAAAGAGAATTCTCTTTCAAAGATTTGCGTAATTCCATGACAAAACACTAAAACACTTCAAAAACAAAAACTGATCTAATAATGTTGCATATAATGCTAGACAAATGCATCATGCACTTAAAAAATACTGATCACGGATTTTGTGAGACGTATATAGTTTTACGCAGTTTGCCAAATATTTGAAGTCCCACGTGAATTGTGCCAGAACTCTCAGAAAAGCCTGTGTAACTAGCAAAACACTGTCTTACGTCGCTTGAAGAATAAAAACTAATCAAACAATGCTGTAAGAATGCACGTACAAAGAACTTCCTTTTGTCTACGTCAAGTTTCGCCCAGCAACGAGAATAATTATCAATGTAAATGATTTAACTGGTCAACGCCTTCCTGTTTAAAGGGGACGCGAGATCGAAAGAGAGAGCAGAAAATTTTCAACATAACAGCAACGCGTGGAGTGAAATTGGAATCATGAATCAAACTATTCTGTGTCTTCTTGGTCTGACCGCCATGTTTATCATGTGCTGTAAGTATACATAAGCATTAACAGCTGTTTTTTAAGAGAACTTTAATTCTTTCAATACTTTAGAAAGGTTTGAAAATCGTTTTTTGGAATTTTATATTGTTTTTTAAGAATTTAAATTATTAGAAACCAAGATTAGCGAAAGTATTGCTTCCAAGCTTCGAGTCAACAAGACATGTCTCAACAAACTATTTCAATAATATATCCATACAGTATGGAAATTGCAATATGTTTGAAAATTGGATTTCCATACTATTTTCAACTACGATACATATATATATACATATATATATATATATATATATATATATATATATATATATATATATATATATATATATATATATATATATATATATATATATATATATATATATATATATATATATATATATATACTACTTCCATAGTAAGGAATTTACTGTAGGCCTATGTGTATCCAAGTGCTCCAGTTTATATATCACGAATTCTTCCGTACTGAACAGTTTGGTCGAGTTTTGCCCGGCCCGTTCAAGGACGTCTGAAATAGTGAAATCATAGCTACAATGCGTTTTCAATAATGAATTGAAGCTATATTTTAGTCAATTTTAGCGGCGAATACCAGTGGCACTGACCGACTATTTGTAATGAAATATGCTTTGAATTTCGCTAGAAATCAATAATACCATGCAGTCGTGAGAGCAAGTTAATAATAATTTTATTTAATTGTGCTTTCTATAGCTTCCGCGCACGTGGAGCAGCCTGAATTACAGAGTAAGTCATAATTTCTTTCTAATTATTAACTAAAAATGACAACCTATTAAGTTGCAAAATATTAAAAAAAAGGTTCATTGAATTTTCTTCATGATTCGCTTATATTGGTATTTTGGGTTTTCAGGCAAGGGTTTGATCATTAAGAAACTGTGCTTCAAAGGTATGACATCATATATTCTTTGACTCCCTCACCAGCGCATTCCTTAAATCCGTGACCTAGACATTTTCGCTGAAAGTTATACGTAAGGTCTTGGCTCCCCAAAATACAATATATACTTTTGGTAATATCAGTGGCGTAACGGAACTTCCTGAGGTCCCCCATCAAATTTGTAAAGCGGGGGGAGGGGGGGGGGACGCGAATAAAAAGGTTAAAAAAATTTCCGGACTATGACATGTAAAAAGGCATCGGCTAAACTTACTCACATCCTTAAAAAGGGGTCCAAATTTCACAATTTTACAAATTCCTGCTTTTGTATGTGGCCCGTTGTGTAGGTGGCTCCTTTGTAGGTGGCACTCTATAACTGAAACTCGGACCAATTTAGTCAATGCACTAGCAAAAATTTTATGGTCGTTTTTGTCGGGGGGGGAGACCTGGGGGCCCCTTGCCAGTGAGCACCCAAACACCCCTCGGTTACGCCACTGTGTGGTATGTGTACGAGGTAACAGAATAATGAAGTAACATTCTGGGGAATGATGCGAACAGCTTCATTCACATCCTACGGAACAGCAATTTCAGCTGAAGATGAATTACTAATAATGCCCCTCCGAATGTAGGCTAATAGTAGTTTAGTTTAAAATCTCTTTTGAGCACAATTACTGGATTGAAGAGCTTAAATAACATTACAGAATTACTATTACTAAGATCAATAACACAAATAAAATATTATTTAGTACTAATTAGATTACTAGGTATTTACACAAGGCACTAGTACTAAGCTAATGAAAGTATTTAAAAGTGAAAAAGGATCGATTGTGATCTGTACGAAATGTCATTGAAAAGATAAAAATTTATCAGAGTTCTTCCTTAGGTTAAAATCGTGGTTAGCTACAAACAACAGGCTTTGGCAACAAGTTAAACAAAGGCGTTGTTTCTGCCCTTTATCCTGTTCATACCCTGAAATTACACTAGCTGTCGAAATCTAATTAATGCACTTCTTGAACACATATAAGTGGCAGTGAAATGACAGAATTTTGTGTCCGTTACGTGATTGCCGGCAATCTATGTCCGGTAAAGAAGAATTTATACGAGTCCTGTAGAACAAGGACTGGACGAGAGTTACCCGTTTGATGCCTCACGATTGTGGGACATCAAAACCATGCCAGAGCGCTCAAACTGCATATATATATATATATATATATATATATATATATATATATATATATATATATATATATATATATATATATATATATATATATATATATATATATATATATATATAAAATTATAATTTTTACAAAATTGTACAGTGTACTCCGGATTATAATTATTTGTTTTGAGCTTTCGACTCGGTACTTCGAGTCTTCATCAGAAAGATTGATCATTTGAATTTTCGCGCTGTTGTTGACGCTGTCGAAGTTTGTGGGAACGTCTGATTGGTTGATGGATTTCCACAGATGACAATGATGAATCAGACGTTCCCACAGACTTCAACAACGTCAACGGCAGCGCGAAAATTCAAATGATCAACCTTTCGCTGATGAAGTACCGAGTCGAAAGCTCAAAACAAATAATTACAATCCGGAGAATTTAATAAAATGCCTGGATTACAAATCTTCAAATCTATTAAGTACTGTTTAATAAACGAGCAAGAGTGTTTTATTAGATTTAAAGCCACGAGCGCGCAGCGCGAATGGCTTTAGACCTAAAAAAATACGACTTGCGAGTATATTAAACGGCTTCAAACACGACTACAAATTCAATAGATTTACTGCCTTATTAGTATTCTTTATATAGATACTAATGAGGACACGACTACAATAGATACTGCCTTATTAGTATTCTTTATTTAAAGAATACTAATTAGGAGTGTTTTATCAGGTTTAAAGCCACTCACGTGACATATTATGGTTGACATGATTTGAAATTGAAATATATATATATATATATATATATATATATATATTATATATATATATATATATATATATATATATATATATATATATATATATATATATATATATATATATATATATACCGGATGTCCCAAAAAAAAGTACTCCTGTTTGATTCGTAATAACTTCTAAACAAGTAAAGCTTTTAAGGAGAAATGACTTGCATTAAATAGAGGAAGGACTAACTTAGATTTTGATATATTACAGTTGTATTTTACTTAAAAATTCACGGAGATATTAATGTTCAAAATCGGGAGCATATTTTGGGATGTTTCTAAAATTAGCAAAAATCGGCATATCAAATATTAACTCCAGCGTTTGTTTGCTTAATGACATATCAGGCTAACTTGTATTTCAGCGAATTATCGTTAGGGTTTGTATAAGGGATATGGCGTAGATTTAGACATCTTACATATAAGTCTTAGCTCATTGTTTCCTGAAATATGAACGTTCGAAATTATGCAAGTATTTAATATTAGGTCTTCACAAACTTAAAAGTACATGAAAGACCATGGAAGGCAGGCGCTTAAATTATTTTTCTTAATAGCCTAATTTTTTTGTTTTTAATGGGTTGAAACAGACTGAGTTGATTATTTCTCGGTTAGAGCAGGATGAATATTATTCTTTATTGAAGGAAATAATATTGGTTTTTGCAAATACATATCACCGTATCAACGCTACTATTTTGTTAGGTTTTGTTCCAAAAATGTTGCATGTCTCTGGGGAGTTGCTTAATTGTTATGTCTTATGGAGTTATATGGTTTGATTGTGTTTCATATAATTCTCAGTTTACTCTGAACTTGCCAAGATTAAGAAAAGGCAAAAGAGTTTGGGTGTTCTTAACAAGATTTCAGAACGTTGCAGAAG